GTTATCAATAACACTTTATAATATCGAGGAGGTATAAGCCCAAACAACTAAAAAAGTGATAAGTTTAATAGATGCCGTTCAAGCATAGATTTTTCAAATGACTTTAGGAAAACTGATTACTGCCCAGCAATAGGTCGTCACTCACCTTGGGCATCGACGTAGAGTCCAATCTTATCGAACACTAACAGATACTCTCTCGACAAGGGCTCCGTAGACTCGCCAGCTACCTCGATCATGAGTTGCGCCTCGTAGTTCGATTGACTAAGGAACTGCAGAGATTGATCTTCCATATTCACCAAAGCTATAAGTACAAAACTTTAAAGATGAAATTTCACCTACTGTCTCGTATGTTTTGTACCATACTAACCCGAATATCAATTTCTTACTTATATCCTAATAAATGGATCTTCTCTATGGAGAACTAATTTTCTCTAGACTTTTCAAAGGTATAAAAAGGTATAAAGGTATAAAAAGTGAATCAAGTAAGATAAGCAAGAGAAATAGGCAAAAGATGAGTACTCTGAACTTACAGATATGTTTCGTGTTGCTTTGATCTCCCAAGGCCCAAGCACGGAACGAGTGCGTAAAGCCAACGACTAATCGGCCTCCTTCAATCGCCAGCGACTGAGGGAAACCAGGCATAGCTAACTCCTGCAAGAAAACAGAGCAATATTTGGATGAAAACATTGATTGCTGGGTGACCACACCCAGAAACTCTAAGAATGGGCAGCGAAACTGCTCAAAAGCAATTGAAAACAAAGACTTGCCGTACTCGAGGCCCTTTATGCAGTTGATTCCAAAATCCATCCGAATAATCAAACTGAAGAAACTAACTACCTTCCATTTTTTGTGCCTCTTTTCACTTCTGTCGATCTGATATACAATCACGCTCTTCTTGATTGCAACCGCGATATAGTGTACGTTTCCAGCTGAACCAACTGATGCGGTACCGCCCATCGAGCCAGCTCCCATAGCCATAAGGTGACAACCTTTTGTTTCGGCGATCTTAAAACGAGGCATTGAAGTTCCCGTAACAGATTTCGAATAATTCATTCCCAGTAGAATACTCTAGGGTCAACCCTACAAAACTTGGTACGAACACATTCAGAGAGCCGTTTCGCAAGGAAAGGAAAAAAGTCGAAGATCACGAAGCAGAAAGGCACACAATCAATTTTTGGTATTTCGCGAGGGCTTAAGGAGCAACCTCTCTTCTACCCAGGTTTTTCAGCAGCCATAAGGTAGAGATTTCAAGCATACATGTAGTACAGCAATAAAGTGAAAATCAAAATTTAAAGATCTGCTAAAGAGTCACATACCTTGATCCACTTCAAGTCACGTCCATCTAGCGCAGCCGACGGTACCAGCCGAACGTGTCTTTCCTTTGGGGGACCAACCATGACCAAGAGCAGCTGAAAATCAAATTAGGATGATAGAGAAAACTTTTAAGGCCTACTGGCGTGTATCATCCAAACTCATTTCTTCATTGAAATACACTAAAAAAAGACTCACTTGCTCAGATGCACTGAATTCCACTTTTTCGATGAAACGACCTTTATTTTCTTTCTCGCCACCAACAGCAACAAGTGTCTGAATTGAATTACTGTTGTTAAAGTTTTCTGCTCAATGAGATCTTTTTACATGTAGATAAAAAGGATAGAAAGTTTTGGCGTTGCTCAATCCCGTCTTTGCGATCCCCGCCTTTCCCTATAGGATTCAATGAGTGGACAATGTGATGATAGCGTACAACTTGTCATTAAACCACCTCCACCCGCATCATGGCATTTGAGCATTGATTACTGTCTTTTAGATGAATGATACACTATGAAAGCAAGACCAGTCTTTCAATGCCAGGAGCAAAACAGTACTAAATCCAACGCTTCACGATATACTCAAGTAAATATTCCCGCGACTTCTCCTTCCTACTTCTGGAATGAGGAAGAGAAGTCAGTATCCAGCTAAACGAACGCTGTTGAATGGAAAACCTAAAAAAAAATTGACTGAACCCATACCTCACGATCCAGCTCCACGCAATACATGCCGACATCTGCAAACCCGATCACCACTTTCGTTCGATCAATAACTACTGCACATTGCGCCACTCGTATTGATGGCAAACTGGTAACGTCGAACACTTCCTAAAACATGAATTTATCAAAAAAAACCCTAATCTTCTCCCAGTACTTGTTTTTTTTCCTCAAAGAATGGGCTGCGCGCGGCTAAAGAAACTAGTAACTCCTGATTCAGGGAAAGTTCCTAGTCAGAAGAAGGTCTGTCTCACATTGATCAAAAGGATACCAGAAAAACGGACAAAAGAACCAGCCCACTGTCTGCTAAGTTTGCGACTTATAGTGATCATTTATTCATGAGTTGATGTAGCGAAACACTGATTTTATATTCCGATATCCAATGACACTTGAAATTTTGGTCCTCACCTTTATGGTAAATGCGCTCCTGTCAGCCAACCGAGATCTTTTCAGCAGAGTTTTGAGCTCATTCAAAGCTATAACCCACTTCTTTCTTTCCTAAATAAGATACGGACATTAGGCAAACCACAGAGCAACAAAACCAAAAGAACATTCTAAAAGAAACCTCTTGACTATCAGCCATTAGCAGCGTATACTGCCTCGTCACGACACCTTCGTCTGTTATGGATGACCCTTGAATTTGACTTGTCGTAATTCGGAATATTTTGGCCAAATCGTTTCTGAAATTCGAGATTTCGATAAAATCTATGAATAAATATTATGAACGAAGTTTCTCGAAGGCAATCGACTTTGATGGCTTACTTGTTAGCATGTATAACATCTTGCTCGTTGACGCCAGTCACACCGAAGTCAGGATCCCTCATATCGAGAACCTAAACGACACAAACCTAGAGACACAGCCAGTTTGTTCCATTCTGTTACGTAGAACTTTGAAAAACGCACCTGTCTAATGACCGGTTGGATTTCATTCGCCTTATTCTGCCTATCAGTAACACAATCATACAGGTAGAGCTTGAAATCGCAAACAACTACATATGTGTGCTGCCATCCCTGAACCTTTCTCTCTAATGAACAAATAAGGTGGGAAATTGCAACCGAATTCACTGGAGCCCTTGAAGCTCAGCTCAAACCAAAAAAAAACGATCTTGACCGACCTTTTTCACACCACCGGCACGTGGTGTTTTCACCAATCCCTCGTAAGCGGTCCCAACACCCTTGAGCGGGTCGATCCCAAGAGGTCGACGAGCATCTGGTGGTACAGGGCATTGTGGAACAACCCGAGACGAGCAGTGAACATGGCATGCGTAGTGACATGTCTGGCAGTATAAACCTAAAACCAATTTCTGCAGTATTTGCAAAGGAGCTGAGGATCTCAACAAATAAGTCTCGTTAAAACTCAAATGCATACCGTAAACCTCAAAACCAAAAATGAGAGGGATCAAAAAGCAAAATCACATGTTTCCGATTAATTTTCTTCTCAGGCAGAAACATAAGAGAATATGGAACGTTACCACAAAAACCGATGCAATCGACAATAGAACACAGGATCGCCCATAAATTTTTTTATCCCCAAACTAGTTCTGTGTTATGATCAGTGACATCTCCTCCTATTGAATCAATTGACACACCTTGGCGATCTAACCCCACCAATATCGATGTGCAATGGCCACATTTCGTTGGCGCATTCAAATGAACATGCTGGAACTGATGACCACGCCCATTCAAAGCATTATTCAACGACTGAATCACCTTAAAACAAAGAAAGGAATCATCATACAGTTGTTAGAGCAAACCAAACAAAGATCAAAACGGTTAGATCACTTTTTTCGAATAATGAGCGTTACCTTCGGGCTTGTTCCGCGGTTTCCAACTAGCATTGTAGATGCTGTCGATGGAGTTTGACTATGCCTAACCGTATTCTCGTATGCAGGTGGTGGGGCCGGGGAAGGGATTCTGGAACCAAGACAATGTGGAAGTTGAAAGTGTTAAAACCGCTTCAGTACCATTGGAAGTAAGAACATACCCTGGAACACCGTATCTTCTTGAGTTCGAAATCTCGTACTCGGTATTGAAGGAATTGTGGACCGAATCACGCGGTGTAGATGTCCGACCTTGAAATAAGCAGTTGGAAATGTGAGATACAGTGATACGCCAGAACAACACTTGAAGTAGGTGAAATCGCTCAATCATCATTAGAATAGGTACTCCAAACTGTAAATAAAAGATCGAGCAAGAAAGTACTGACCTTCAGGAACCATATTAAAGAACGCCCGTCCATCTTCGACACTGTCACGATTACCGGCACGTAGTTCTGATTTCAGCGCTTCATTTTCTTTTCTCGCCGCTGCTAACTACAAAGAAAAGTATAGATCAAATGTATCAAACACATGATATTCAAAAATTACTCGAATGCATATCCCTTATCACATTTCAATTTCACCTGCCGCAATACCATCAGCAGCTTGGCTCCAAGCTTTTCCATGTCTATTTACTTTACAGAAAGATGAAACTGTAGCATGGGAAAAGGGGACCCTTTTATTACGCTAGTGTGGTCCAGCATATGTAAGGGGCACTGTGTGGCCGTCTAAGCACTTGAACACGGTCTGGACCACAAAAATATAAGTGCCGCCTTTGTATTTCTGCTGAGATCCCTCCACGCCAGTGATGAGGATTGAAGCAGAGGATTGGAATGTGGGTGAAAAGTACAGCTGTAATTCAAACAACTACTGATTCGGATGCGTTCTCTTTGCGGAATTCCAAAAACACCATCTACAGCAATTCACATAGTAAACTACGGATCCGTTTTGATATAGCGGGTGCTGTCCGAAATTCAGGAGTTGATGGAACCAGTACTCCTACCTTAAACCTTTTACCGGGACATCGATGGGTTATCGAATCACTACGCAGAGGATATGATCTGTCATCTGTCTAGATCTGTCACGGATATCACCGCAATGATATCCATGACAGATCACCTACTGCAAGCCTAACCTCTTGAAATGACCCACCACTCTTAAACCTCTCGAAACCACCACTTCTAATGTCTTCTTGTTCTATGTTACCTCTACGGAACAATAGGAGTAGCAATGGTTTTATATATAAGAAAAATTTTGTTACCACTAAAATAGAAGCATTCAAACCAAATGGAGCTAAAAACGACCCTAGTCTATGTCTTTCCACTTTCGGTGAGTGTATGAATTGCGAACATACCATTTGCTGTATGGAGAAAAAAGTGATAAGTCTGATAGTGAAAGTCTAATAAATGGCTATTTGTTACTCCGCTCTCAGATCATATGGAGGGGTCGCGCACGACTATTTAGTCCTTACCCTATTGTTCACATAACGGCTCTTGATGTTCTCGTCGTGTGGAACCTCTTTTACCCGCCCATTAAGTAAGCAGTTAAATATAAATATTATAGAAAATGAGAGCAAAATTAAAAAATACGAACCCGTTCTTCGCATTCGTCCAAACGAGCCTTCGACGCAAACAACGCTGACCGCGTTTTGCTCAACTCCTCTTGAAGTTCGCACTTCGCTCTGATCTCTGCGTTCAAAGCCTTCTTTGCGTCGAGAATCTGAAGTGTGTTATGATCAGTACAAGACAACACTGAGGCCAAACTTTACACAATTGCCTCAGTATGAGAACAAACAACCAAAAGTGGCGAAGGCATCATCCTGGCAAATCAGAATTATTCATTAGTTGTGCATTACTAAACCAACCTCCATTTTGGCAGCTTTGTTCATACGACGAGATCCCCATCCTGATGCCGGAGTGGTGATATTGCTGTACTGGCCTTAAATTAAAAATTTAGATTTGAAGTCTGAAACACTATGAAATCTTGTGCAATAGAACGGAAAAAGGAAGGGTTAATGGAGGATCTATTAATTTCAAGCATTACGTTCCAGTAAAACGGATTGTTCAAGCAAGGCAGAATTTAACTAATTTTCCAATGAAAAGTTAACCGCTACCTGATCTCGAGAGAAAGCAATCTCTTCAACTGCTAATATCTCTAATAAATCACTGACCACTATGAGGCGTACCTCCATTCGTCCCATTTTGAAGTTTTAAGGTTTCAATATCGCCGGTTATCCGTCGAGTGAGCAGCTGAATTGAAACGATGTAGATTGAAGTCATTGAAGTAAGTAATGTTAACAGACAGCATGTTTACAAACTTTTCATGATTGAGTGAGTAAATAAAACAGTCAGTATGCCATCCAATAAATCGACCAATAGTTAAGAAGAAGCAAAGATACCGCACAACAGCGGAAAATGATCATTAATATCGAATAAGTTAGCAGAGAGACGCACCTCCATTTCCTCTCTCGTAGCCTTTTCTTCATTCACCCAGTTCAGAATCTCATGCAGCTGCTGCTCGTTGATTCCAGGACGAGCCATTTCTCTTAAAAATCATAATTCGCTTTAATATTAGTTTTACCGCTAATATGATGCAAAGAATTTTAATACAATGCAAGAAATAGACGGGTGCCATCCAATCAAGTAAACACAAAATATTATAAAAAAAGTAAAGTCGAGGTTCATGGATGAACGACTGGAAGAGATGAGAAACATACATCTCAGTGTGCAGACGATTCAACTCCGTCCTCAGTGATTCATTTTCTATTTTCAGCGTAGCAATTTGCTCCTCGAATGCCTTCTGGAGACGATCGTACTGCATCTTCAAAAGCATGAATCAACCAAAGCTTTAGTAATACTGTCGGTAATACAAGCAAGCTAAGGCATGCTTATAGTAAGAATATCAAATTGCGAGCTAGCAAACCTCCACATTCTTCGAGTTCTGTTCTTGCTGCAGGGCGAATTGAGCACGCTCCTCTTCCAATTTGCTGCGAGCTGTCCGAAGTTCAACATCTTTCTCATCAAACTGTGCTTGAAGTTCAGCAAGTTGTCCCTGAAAAAGTTACTTCAGATGCATTGCTCTATTCTCACAAAGGTACTTTAAAGCTATATTTTTGTTCCAAAGCTCTACAGTTGATACAGCTCAACGTATTAATACGAGTCAGTCATCCACTGAGTAGGGAAATAAAACGAGGTCAGTAGTAAGAAATTCCCCCAATGCGGTATCTATGTAAATGGACGGGGACAGATATCGTAATTATCTGTGACAATACGTTTTGCCAGTAGAGAGCATCGAGCTTTAGCGATCGATGAAAAACTGCCTGCTCCCCAATGAGAGGTTTCCAAAAGAATCGCGCAGACTATCGTGATCAACAGTTTGGATGGATAAATGTACGGCACTCAATTTGCGCAAGGAATGTGATATCAATATTTGCTCTTCCTCTAAAATGAATCTTTGACTGGTGCAACCGACTGCCAAATCGCGCCGTATTATTGGACTTCTTTCCCATAGTAAATTAAACCGCGCAAATACAACGAAATCGAAGCATAAGTGGCGGCTAGTGCCAATCACAGTTCAACTATCAATGGTAACGTTAGACGGAAAAACCTACCTGGTAGTGTTCGACGAGTTGCTTCCTCTTCTTGTCCTCTTGCGCTACAATTTCTGTATGACGCTCATTCAATCGTTCCAATTCTTCACCCAAACGACGGGCCTCTTCACCAGGATTTTCATCACCAAACGCAGCAAGCTAGAAAACATTTGGACATTAATTCAAGCATTAGTAAAAGAGCCATCATGTAAGCCATCAGCAACAGCAAAATTTGGAAAACAGCAAAATCAAATGTAGTAAACTCACTTTAGCCTGCAATCCTTCCTTAAGCAATCTCTCAGACTCTGCTGCCTGTTTTGCTTTCTCCAGCTCCATATCGATGTTTTGTCGAGCTAAAAATTTGAATCTTTAGAAAATTTGATACTTTTCGCTTATTTGGTTTGGACTGGATAGTTTCGATTGAACAACTGGAGCCATCGACAATTAATCTCGCACACAACTAATCTACTCTAATATTAAATATAGAAGTAGTGGTTGATTGTGCAGCTGAATGAACGACTAACTTAAGATTTTAACAGATATATAATACTACCAAAAAAGCATCATACCGCTTTCCGCCTTTCGAAGATCCGCCTTCAAGGTATCCACTCTAGATTGTAGCTGAGCTAACCGGGTTTCAGTTTCGGCGGCTTCCTTTTCCAAACGGCGAGTTTTACTGCGCTCGTCCAAAAGCTCATTATTCAACTGAAACCAGAAGCCTTTTTGGAAAGTTTTGGCACTGATAGACCTCCCACTTGACTTTTTCGATCAGAATCTTAGAGTGCCAACTGTATGATGCCGATCTGGATTTAATATTTCATGACAAAATGATGGGGTTAGACTGGTTTATTAAAGCATCTTCGTAGAATAAAGGATACTTAGAACCTTCCGAATCAGTCTGCGTACAAATAAAGGCACCAGGATATCTTGTTTTCAATCAAAGGTCATTTTGTTAAACCTAACGAATAAGCCACAGTTTGACACACGGAAGCGCTACAAACCATTGCCGTTCACTAATGTGTAAAGCCATGAAATTAAGTAAGTAAAGGTGCATTCAACTGTGTACATAATGAATTTGGATATCAAACCTCTTCAAAGTCCGCCTTTGCTGATTCACGATGTTTAATGGCTTCTTTCCATTCTTTTGTCTGTATTGTCAACTTCTCGGCTCCCTCTTCAAGCTCCTATAAAATAGAACGGATTGAGGAGCACACCACACATAATTATAGGATAGAATGTTAGCAGATCAACTACAGCAGAATATGACAGGTTTCCAATCATCTACAACTTTCTGAAGAACCTTTGGAGCACGACTGGACTCTTCCTTTTGAGTATTTCTGAGTTCCTACTACACACACTTAGAGGTATAGGGCGATAGGGGAAAATGAGCAGTTTCACACCAAATTCAGAAGCCTCTTAATGAGAACCATCTCAAAAGCCCCTGTCCACTAATTGCACTATCCTTAGCTCCTTAGCTACCTAAGCACCTATCGCGCAAGCCGGAGGTCAGAAGGCACTTCAAACAACACATCATTCAAAACTACAACACAAAAAAATAAAAATATTTGTGAGTACAGCAGAATAGTAGGCAACAGCTATGGGGTGGAGAAAAAAAGGAAAAAGCTTGAAAACTTTGTAGCACAGAGGAGTTATCATCAGAAAGCAGAGTATTGATCGAAATAACAGCTGATCAGATTGTGTGGGAGGAAGCAAATGGTAAATATCAGATTTTTGGTGCAAATATGCTTCAGCCTACTTCATCTTTGCTCTCAGTCATGCAGTATACTACAGTCTATCACTGATAATACCGTATTTACGGCTTCAGCCGACGCAGAGTAAAGTTGATGTTGACCGATGCATACAGCGATATGGTATGCGCAGTTCGTATCGCAGCAACTTCCCTGAACGACATCGTATGCGCGTTACCATTCAACACACACCACGTCATCGAATCTTCATAGGTTTATTCAGACCACAATCAGCACATCACGAACGAAACGATATTATGCTAAGCTGATGCTGATGCTCATGACGATGATGATGATGATGATGTTGATGATGAAGACGACGCCGAAGATGATGATGATGACCAAGATTATAATCATGATGATGAAGATGATGATGACAACAAATGCAATCACGTAAGGAAATACTTGGGAGAAATGCTGGGAATTACGAAGGTCACAGAAAACCACCGAATCACAGCAAAATCTGGGATTATCACATAAAAGCATCTATATTTGGTGAAAAAAAAACGACTACACACAACGACACCGACATGCATTATGGCATCCAAGATACCGGGAACGGAAAAGAACAAAACGAAGGAGAAACCCAGTAACAACCTTCATCACTAGAAACAACCTTCTGCACAACCAACAGACGAGAAATCAAACGGACCATTTCATTGTTGCCGTTAAGAGGTAATGATTTCAATTCCTAATCATCACATTATATAAGACTCAATACAAAATTGAATCTCCAAAAAGAGTACCATCTGGATTCACGCTGTTAGCTTCTTCTTCTGTGCGAAGACTTGTCTTTATTTTAACCGCATTCGACCTCATACCATTTAATTTGACTGAAACGTCAACCTAATGGATTGGGAAGGTGATTGACTTATATACAGCGTCCGCTCAGATTCTCAACTAAAATGGGCATCTTTTTTGAGAAGAAATAATTCGACTGAATTCGTAACATGGAACAACAGCTACATCCAAAAAATGCTGAAACTTTCATTTGCTCAGGATCAGTAAGGCCGGACTCAGCAGTTACAAATGAGGCACCCAATTTTGAACTGTGAGTTAGGAAAGACAGCTAGGACCATTAGGGAAAGCGCGATCAACGCAAAAGAACATATGGGTCTAATTATTGCCTGTGACAAATAATTCAATTGCTAAATCTCCGAAAGATCCCTACACAGTCCAAAGTTATTCTGTTCGTTGACTGTACCGACAACATTAACGAAGTGTTCATTTCGTCCTCTCAAAACTCTAAACTGTCGTGTGCAGCGAGGTCACCCGGGATATTTCCATGTATAGCATTATATACAGATAGCATTAACAAAAATGAGACAGGATATTCCTCTCCTTTTACGACCAAAATCGGTGCGGGTGGAAGCCAGTTAGATGGAGACTGCACCGATTTTAAGCAGCTCATCGTTTTAGCACCTCACGTTTGGCAAAATTGAAATCAGTAACCCGTAATGACAACGACACTCACTACAACAACTCCAAACGACATCGTTAGCACGACAAAGAAAAACTTCTAGGAAGGCTGTTTGTGAGCATTACTCGAACACCTCTGCATCAAGTGTCAGACATGAACATGCATTTTAGATACAAACTAGTATAAGAACGTTGACCTAAGTAAACCAAATATATATCGCAACACAAAGCTACGAACAATTATGACCTCTCATGCACTCCCAACCTCAGACCCTGCCACAGCCCCTGGGAACGAGCTTATCCATTTGTTGGATATGAATTGCAAACTATGCTGATAAGCATCGTGAGCCCAGCTGCAGAATTCGCCAGCGGACAACCGCGCTTGCGTTAATGCCTCGTAAATGCCCATTTGAGAAAAACGATACAGAAACGATAGACCCAAACAAAGGATCAACCACAGAAAGTACGAACGCCTCGTGCGGCGTCTACGTTTTCTTGCCCTGCGTGTCTTGGTCGTTTCGGACTCTGTTGTTGTTGATTCCCCACTCAAGCTAGAAAGTCGCCCTGTCTTCTTGATCTTACTGGTGCTTTCTACGCTACTGTCACGATGGTGACAACAGTGTTGAACTGGCGGACGAGCCGCCAACGGATCAGGTGGTGCACACTCGCCAGCACCACCACCTCGAGATATGGTGCGCTCAATGATCTGTCCCCTGCCACAATCTGCTGAGTCGAAGTCTGCGAAATGGCCAGAAGCCATCAGCGAGTCGCTCACCCTCTGCAGCTCGGTTTTCTCCAAGATCAGCTGCCGATTCTTTTCTTTCAATTCGCGGACTTTCTTCTCCAAATCTTCGACGTCGGGCTCTTTCGCCGTCGCAGCGCGTTCTTTTGAAGCTGCTTCATCAGCAAGCCGCGTCTTTAAAATCTGAAAAACAAAGCAGTCTAAAACGCTGGTATTTCAGCAGCCAAAATACCTAAGCAATTAAGAAAACGAAAAGAAAAATTCTCCCAAACAGGAGACTCTGCGTCATTCTTGCCTGAATCTCATCGCGAAGCTGAGCTATCGTCTGCTCGTAGTTCTTTTCTTCGTCAGATCTTGACTCTCCGGCAAATGACTGGACAAGCTGATTGGCTTCTAAGAAGTGGAACAAAATTCCCCACTATCCACAAGAACGCAAGAAAAAGAAACAATGGGAAATGAAACTCACCTTGACATTTTCTCGCCAAATCATGCTTTTCGACTTCAAGCTCTCTTAATCGCTTCTCGTAGGCCTCAGCTCCGGCTGTTTGCGATTCGCCTACCGCGGATTTGTCACGCGACAAGCACTCTCCCAGAGACTTCGCATCAGATAGCAAACTTAAAAGAATACCAGATTCAAATTCAATTGAACTGCTCCCAAACAAAAGAGCCTCTGTGAATTATCTTGAAAAATGCTGCGATTTCCAATCAAGCTCGCAATTGTATTCTGTTGGTGAAACGTTTATCATTCAGTTGAAACTACAGAACTTATTCATATATCGTAGAGTTCCAACTTATTTTTCTCTCTGTTCCGACAGACCCAAAGACGAATTGAGAATAAAGACACTGGAAACTCTTTCATTAAATTTCATCGTTGAACTACTACATAAATAGATCAACAATGAATTCCCCAAAATGATCTGCAATAGCATGCTCAGCAGTCGGGTATAATCAATGTGGAAATTGAGTGATGTTATATGTGATTGAAAGGATCTTATAGCATTCAATGAAATATCAGCAAAAAAAAGCTTGAAAAACCTACCTTCCGTGCGTATACGTAAAGCCGATGAATGGAAGATGATGACCCGTAAACGCGGCAGTGACACGAGGTGGTTGAGTTTCCTATACGAAAGATATACCTGTGTACACCAATAGATTGACTACTACCAGCATCCAAATAAACTCATGAAAGTACTTACGCATGGGGTGAAGTCGTCCTCACAAATATCCACATCAAAGTTAGACGTGTCTGTAGGGCTTGAAACTTCAGGATGATACGGTGGGTCAGCTAAACATAAGTGAGAATAAAAAGTGAATAAAAATAGCACTTCAAATATATCAGTTGTAGAACTGTTGAAAATCTCACAATCTCTGATCGTATCCCAGTCCACACCGGCGAAGAATGGATGGTCGCGGAAATCAGCAAAACCACCTTTACCCAATCGCACCTAACATTGGACAACAATACTGTAGGTAACTAACTACAAGTAGATCATGCTGGTGCTACTTAAAACGCGAATGTTCCATAACGGCAATGCAGACACTAAACACAACAGACCTCTCTTGGACAAATTAACCGTCGTATTAAATCTTTTGCTTCTTCTGAAATTGTCCAGTCAACATCCTCATCTGGGAAGTCGAGCATATCCTGAAACAAGGTCCGATGATTCAACCTTTTCACAAATTCACTACGTTATCTGAAACCAAGATGATACCTGATGACTCATAATCTTCCCGTATGTATCGATCAGCCGCTCGGAGTAGAAAGGGGTGTTGCCATAAAGCATTTCATACCTAAGAAAAAGCAATCTTGGTATGCATAGATAGTAGATCACTACTAAATGTTTTAAAGTAAACTATAATACGAACATGCAAATGCCGAGCGACCACCAATCGCATTCCTTTCCGTAATGCCCTTTGCCATCCTCCATTGCGCGCAGAATCTCTGGTGATATATAATCTGGTGTTCCTACCGCAACATTGGAGGCGACAGTTCCTGAAATTCGAGAAACCTCAACAGAGTATAATATTCGTTGCACTCACATTCAAGCGCGAACTGCTAAAGTTCTCTCATATGCTGATGAAACATTGTGGTTTATTTGACCGTAATTGAACCCTGGTTCACTCATACCGTTATTCAGATTTGGAATATGAACATATGAATTCTGCTATTATTAAAAAAACAGACCCGCGACATATCGTGCAAAGTTTCGCAATTGAATACAGGCGAAAAACACTGCCATCACAAACTTGATTTTCATGTTTTCGGAGAAATTATACTCGATTATTATTTCGTAATGTGCCCATCGACAGAATTTGTGTTTCTACCATTTTAGAACACTTACATTCGGTAGAGATATGTGAGCATTAGTATTAGGCCGTATCTGACTTCTTCCCGATTTCTCAGACAATTCTAAACCTTCGAAAACACTAGTAGTCGGTATTCCAACCCATACAAGTAAACGCATTTGAAATTGTATTAAACCATTATTGCTCTAATCCATGGGAGCGATCACTTTTCAGATCGCCTTGTGTAAACAAAGCAGATCAGTTGCGAAACTGCTGGGTAAAGAAAACGTTGAAACTGTGTCAAAGTAGGGAATAAACATAATTAGAATGCGTGGGTCTCTTTTCAAGCCCTACTTTACACGAAGTTTGCAGAAAATCGTACTGCCCACTGACCAAATTTAAACTAATGTAAATTAAACACATTCCTAAGAAGCACCAAAGATTATATCGATCGTAGGAAAACCCACCGTCAGGAAGGAGCCGAAGACAGCTGCCAAAATCTGCCAACCGTATGTGTCCATGTATATCCAGGAGAACATTGTCTGGTTTCACATCACTAAAATGATTGAATAAAAAGATCATATATTTATTGCTTTATACTAACAAATACTTCAAAAATTAAATGGTCGCTTTATAACATACCGATGGACATAACCCAAATTGTGAATTGAATCAATCGCGAGCACCATTTCAGCGATATAAAACCGCGCCATGGTCTCAGGAATGCGATCTTCAAACTTCGACAAGAGCGTCAACATATCTCCACCAACGTAGTAATCCATGACGAAATACTGAACGACAATTTTGGAAAAGAACATTTGGAGAAGAACAGCAAGAAGCAACGAGCATTAAACTTTTAGACACAATAAACGTCTATAAGAATAATTACCAGATTTTTCTCGTCTTGAAATGCAAAATGCAAGCTGGTTATCCAACGTCGGTCACCATAGACGAGCACGTCCCGTTCTTCTCGAAAACATGCCGTTTCTGCTCGTTTCAACATCTCCCATTTGTTAAGAATCTTCATGGCATAGATCTGTAACGAATCGTCAATGAGGGCTCACTGAGCTGAAGAGAACACTTGTCTACAGAAAACGGGTAAAATGTCAATTTGAAACAGTAAGTCTATGAAAAACAGTCAGAAAATCACAGAAAAGCTCATATATAGGCTACTAAATAATCAAGGGAAGGCTGGTCACCAAACTGCTCACCTCTCCGACACCCCGCATTCTGACGACGGCTACTTCGCCGAAGGCACCCTTTCCAATCACCTTCAAAAGCTCGAAATCATCACGACATAGTCGCAACTCCTTAGCTTGTGTTACCACGGGTTTCACTGAAAAAACAATTAGAAATAAGCTAAAAGGCTCGTAAAAGCATGGATAGCTAGATTTGATGTGAACCAAGAAAACTCCATCCACTAGAATTGAACTGCTTTTGAAATTTTCAAAATTTTTGTGAGAGTTAAAAAAATTTCGTGTATTCAAAATGGCGAAAAAAACTAGACAATGTTCACAAGTAATTGAAACCAACCATCGCTAAACATGCTGTCACAGTAAAAGTTATCTGACACCTCATCGTTACGCAATGAATGAACCTCTTCTGGAGCTGGATCAGACGGTATTTTAGTTAAATGCTTCGTTAAAGACGAACTGTAGAGCTTCATAAAAATGCAGAGAAGCACAGAGGTCTTGCTCTAGCGGAAGAATGAATCTTTTTTGAGGGACTATAATCCCGAGAGTATTAAAAAAGCGGACTGGTCAGATAAGCTCATCAGCAAATCTAAGACGACGATTAGCAAACCGGAACCCCTTAATACAATTAGACTCCACGGGTCCTATTCCATCCTGCCCTTAGATCTGGTCATTCCTTTGAGAGGTTTTCAACTACCCAACAAAATCGAGGTGGAGACAATAAGATTATTGGAATTCCCTAAGTTTGTTTATAATTAAATGGAAAAGGATTCATATGTCTCAGGTCATATGCTTGACCCAAAGAAACTAAGTTAGGGGAGATGTTGATTCATCCTTTTAACACAACACTATACATTTTGAAGTGAACAACCACTTGATAGCTATTCCTCAAACAGTTGTTTTCGTCATTACAGGGCAATGATGTTGCGCTCAGCTGTTCGTCTGACTAATGCGAAATGCGGATGAAGAAATGGGAAACAACAACAAGAAAAGCGTTCGAACGTCAGTTATATTTATGCGTCACCGAAAATATGAAAACATAAGTGTAACGAATTGGTGAGTGTTCCAACGCCACTTCCTCAATCACCCTTTAATACTTAAGCATTCAAATTTAGTCGACACATAAAAACAGTATCTTGAGCAAAAGAAGGAGTAACGATATAAATGAAATCCAGTCGGATTCAGTGGCGAAAAGCTTTCAAACTTGCACCAAAAAGACTGCCCAGATTCAGCGACCTACTGCCATATACTCTACAGATCTTCATACTGTCCTTATTAAAAAGGACACTTTGAATCATCTATCCCCTCAGACAACAACTTCTCGCTATGCGCACTTAATTTCCGTTCTTGAAATTCCAGTCTCATCGAAAACTCTGTCACAGTACTGGTTTGCCCGTAATTCCCAGCGAAATACAACTGATGTGTTCCTGCGCTGGACAAACAATGGGAATACGAAACCTATGAGAAAATAAGGCGCCCATTGATGTAAAGCTATTCACTGGCCTATGGGAAAAAATGTTCAGAAGAAAGCAATATACTTCAAAGAATGCTGAGAATAGAAACCATGGGAATTCCACGTATAAAAAACACTACTGGTAAGCTGACAAAACACGTAACCGCGGGGCCCTCACTATGACAGCACGTCACACTGTCCCCTACTGTTTCATGCTAAGGAATTCCTATGAATTAGTGAGCTGTTCTCCGCACATAACATAACATTAGCAGGGAAAAATCTGCGCACCGAATTTTAAATTCGTATATTTCGATAGATAATATTGAATTACGCTTTGTCCGTTGCTTGTATCATAGCTATAATAGGGAAACGAAATTTTGATAAAACGAAATAAAACGGATGTTTAAAAATATGAAATCGAAAACAATGAAGTGATGAACTCACCAGATTCAACAAATTCGGCAACACATTTTTCTTTCCGCAGTGTACTGCTGCAGCACTCATCGTATAAACAGATGAGGGTGTCTGGAAAAGCTCTTAAATAAATACTGAAATGAGACAACAACTCGACTCGTTTCCATGGAACTGTCGAAGCAGATCTTATTCGAATCCCAAAACATATACTGGACATCTATTGTTTACTATCAGGAATCACTTTATAAGTTATTTCCAGCACCAAAAAAATACTGAGTTACATCTACACAGTAAGGACGCTATTTGCATTAATTACTCTAGCCCGATCAATACTCCATATTTAGCTTTGAATACGCCCCTTGCCATAATAAATATTCGTAGTTTGTTAGCAGAGAAAACTCATAAAATGAGTTATCGCCTCATAAAAAGTGTTATGAGCCACACCAAACGTTTGACCTAAGCCAAAGACATAAAGCGATAAACTACGGAATAGAAGTGCAAATAAACGAATGATTCCGCTAACACACATACCAAGGAGTGCTTCAAATGATAATGCAGTACTGCTTTTTGACGGTCCATCCAGATAGCTGGCCTCTAGCTTTGACAATCGGCCCACCCCACCGCTGTCTTCCGCCTCGGCCATCTGGAAAAGATTTCTGACAGCGAGACAACTAACACACATCAAAGCGTCACTCATCACGAAAGATGCGCTATTTCAGTCTATCCGAAGGAAAGTGGATTGTAACACTGCGGTAAAAATACAAATATTAGCATAAGAGCATCTGGCACGAAGCCAAAAAAAGAACAGAGCCGTTTAACTTTTGACAGATTACGATAGACAGTTTCAAATTACTGCACACTCATCCAAAGATCACCACATTTCGAAGAATTTTGCAAAGTCCCGAATTGATATACAAGGTAATAGTGCCAGCGACTGAGACATAACTAGTGGGAAGCCCTGCCGATAAAGCAAGGGATTTCATGCCCTCAAAGCAAGCATTCATCTGCGTTTGTTACCTTAAGCGAGGAGAACTCAATGTGCTGAAGTAAGGTGTATCACCACACATGGCCATAAAGGGAATTGGTTCTCGTTTGAACAAGACCGAGACTTTACACATCGTCTAATTTACCCTGGGAAAAAGTGCAACAATGTAAATGATAAATGTTTGCGTTCTGTCCGTACATCTCTAGTCCACCAGACTGGCTACAATTCTATGACTACCGCTCAGTTAACGGGCGGTAGGGTTAAGCCATGCACAAATGGAAAACTGCGGAGTAATAGATTTTGTAGGTCTTATTCAGCTCTAATGATACTATCTCCAGGACTCCGCGCCAGGCATGAAGATAAATAACAGAACTCGCCATAAATTCCTAGTAAGATATCTCGAAAACCCAGTAAAATCGAAGTCACGCAGCTATGCCCAGAGAATATATAGCACAATAGTACGCCATCGTCGAATGTCCTCTGCCGAGGTGCTGGGTCTGGGAGAAATCAAGCGGGAAGCAAATGTTCGCCGAAGCAGACTTGACCTTAATAATCGAACACCGTACGAGGAAATCGATGCATCTATTTTGGATATCTCGTTTAAGTCAACTCGCTTCACACAAAACCTTAAGACTGGTTCCATACAAGTGCTGGGAGCAACGCGCACTTTACATTTCATCGAAGCACAGTTCAGCCGGATACATGTCAAGTAAAGTAAGCAGGAATACTCTTTCTGGAGCCCGTTCAAAAGTTCAACTCCATCGAGTGACGGAAGATGTTTCGGAAACATTCGGCCGAACAGTTGATCATGAGAACAATAAAACCGGGCGAGTTAGATACTGGAATCAAAATAAAACAATTATCGACCGTTTACATCACCAGTTGACAATTCGACTACAGGCGTTGTTCGTCGAATATCAAAAACACTTTGCAAATTTCCGCATACACCAAACCGCCAACGAATCGATAAGAGCGCCCGACTAGGCGCTCTACGAGGGAGGGAAGAGTGCGCCAGACGCACTTGCTGAAGGCTAGATGGCTGAGCTTTTCGAGGCCAGTGCAAGGGGCCAGGGGGCCTCATTACAAGCTGTGCTGATTCGTTTTTCACCCACAAATTGAGCTGCTGCTGTCAACGCTCTGCAGCTGCTCTCTCGTACTCACAGAGTGCACTGAGATTCGCAGAATGTCAAAGTGCTTCTTCTCAGACTACAACGTGCGATGAGTTTCTTGTGCGCCTTCACATCCTCCACACTCACATTACCCGGTCTATCCTCATTACGGTAGAGTCCACCGCAATCATGCTTATCACCAATTTCGAAAGTCCGTCCATAAAGTCATCTAAACGACTTTAGGTGTGTAATGGTGCCCCATTAACTGAGTCCGGTTTCTACTGAGTTTCGGAACCGGGCCTCAGGGATACACAGCTACCGTAGTTACATACTATGTAATGTCATATCGTCTAAAAACTTGCAGCGACGTCTTCGCAAACATACTACACATGAGAAAATTATGTGGGTCAGAAAAGACCGGGACAACAATGAAGCCTATACGCGAATGATGTGCTTGCTCAGATGTCCTCTGAACAGTCTTCTAACCTTGTCGTTCTGCAGCGATCGCCAACCTCTTTATAGTTGTCAATTTTTGCTAGTGTTCTTCAGTCGGTTTTATCCCTTCCCTTCCATCTTTTGATTACTTCAAGCAGAACAACGACATTACGAGAAAAAAGTTAAAATATACTTCGTAACGCACTCTTGCTCTTCCAAGTACATCTTGATCCGATCCCATTTCAAATAAACCCTTTATGAAATGGTGTATACAAAGTAAAAAAAACTGGATTTTATTCCAGTCAGCCGTTTCGTAACATTACTTAACACATCTGATAGATTTCACCTATCAATTTTGAACGCGAGCCGCTAAACTTGGGCGAACCATGCCGTTTTAGCCGCCTGAACAGATCGATTGGGCGCTCCAGTCTATAACAGAGTAGGAAAACACAAGCAGATCGACTCCGGGTGTACCGAATTCTGGTAAAATACAGCACGAAGTAAGCATGATAAGGCAAAGATGGCACCGAGCAAAACACGGAGTAATGACTAATTACAAGATTTTTTACTCAGATTATAATCCCAAAAAAGTGGTGGTGGTGAAGTTGTGCTGCTCAACCCCAGCACTGACTGAGCAGGCGTATGAAAATAATGGCATTGAGTAATTATCAGGAGTAAACACTCTCTCTTCTAATCATATCTATTTCTTTCAAGTTAATCTTCTTTTCACATTGAGACTACTTACTCAGATACGCTCTGAAAGATGCTCATTGACGGAAACTAATCAGACACATTTTTAATCATTTGTTTTAAAGCAGCTGTAGTGCGTCAGTGGAAAAGGCTGAACTGCGGAAAGGTAAATACCTGACCCACTGACCCTGACCGATACAACCGACCGCCTCCCCCAAATACTCCGCTATTCTGCTGTCTAAGACTCCAAGTATTCTCATACCTTCTCTGTTTGCTTTCCATAATGGCAAAAAGTGTAGCGCAAAGTCAAATATAACAGATTTTCTTGCCTGTACACGCCAAACGATTCGGTCCCTGTAGATACAACATAAGCGAGAATATTTGTTTAATCTAAACCCTCTTCCATCATTACTGAACTGGGACAGAATGGCGATAGAGACTTTACCCAGATGAACGGGACCTGTAAACCACCTGGGATGCGCAATTTCAGGGAATGGTGACAACAAGCGGGGAAACATGAATAAAATCCAAATTAGAGAAGGGCATATTTGGTCTGAACTGTAGCTAATTATAACGCTGACAAGTACTGAGCTCTTCACCCTCTTGCGGCCATTCTCATATACTCTCCAACCTGAAGATCAGCAATTCATCAGCAGAGTGTTTTTGTGAGGCATCGACATACAAGAGATCCAACGCAGCGATGATGAATGTCGTTGTCTTACTTTGCGTAATGATACCGCAGAGAAAGTCATGTGAAAGTAATGATCAAAACGACAAAAAGTAAGTAAACCTGTTGGCGATTCAGTTATCTGATAGAGGGAGTGAGAGAAGTTTCGAAAAAGTTTCATATGACTATCAAATAGGCAAAAGGCGGAATTTATGCATGCCATAGGAACAAGGTCATGGGGACGATGTGACGCACATATATAGGAATTTGAATGGGGAAGTAGAAATCTGGGAAATCTTGCTGAACATCAGTGGAAAATTTTCCCATGTATAACCCACTGTGTGTTGGCCTAGCGCACCAACGAGTGCAAAGATGAATAAATAAATAAACAAATAAATGTATGTTACTTGACCTTTAGTAGTCTTAGGACCAATGCAACTAATGCCACAATGAACTTCTGAACGCCCAAAAAAACTAGGAAAGCACAAAGTTTGCCATCCTAAATCGACGCTCGATGACTTTCCGAGATCGTATTAAAGGGCAAGCGCCAATTGATCCCTAGAGGATTGCGCCTCGAAATAAATCATTTTATATGGGCCTGACTGAATAGCAAAGCCAAAAACACAACCCTTTCTGATGAAATTAAATAGGGGAATGTAGAGGTTTGATGAAAAAGAAAATGATTCGCCGCAGCAACAGCATACAATATGCTCGTAGAGACACTATCGAGAAAGTAAGCGAAAAAAATCAACGAAAAATCAATGATTTTCCTACTTCATACGGCACCCACATACTTTTTGAGTAATTCTAATTGGAGTTTTTAAAAGCCCCTGTTTTTAGTTCAGTTTTTTCCACAAAATTGGATTCTCGAACTAAGGACTTACAAGCAGACCGGATAAAGGGATTAAAAATTATTATAAGCAGCAGCTTATTTTGATCTTATAATTGACATCCAATAAGTTGATGTCTTCAATTAAGGCATTTCCGGATATAAGATTTTGCGAAGCATAGATTTTAGCTTTGCTGGTGGTCTTACTGAAACCGGTTAAATCCCAGCTCATATCTGTCACATCGAGTGGAAAATAGGAAATAGATTCCAAAGCTTAGGTTTTCTTTACGTAAGAACACGCCAGGAATAATTATTAGGAGTTTACATAAAGGTTCAGACACAGAAAGTTCAAAATTCATCACCCTTCACCACAATACCTGTCAATTACTGTGGAAATCCCAAACATTTTACATAGCTGAGGCAGCAGAAATAAGAGCTCTACCCAACTAATTTTCAGCGGAACACGCGAAAACTGCTGTAAAATTTACTACCACAACGTAGAATTGGGAGAGTGAGAGCTAGCAGCCCAACACAACAGTCATCTGCATCGCGCTAACTCGCTGCGATCCGGAATTGCAGGACTCGCTTTCTCTTAACCAAGAGCAAGGTGATTACGGTAGAATAAATCACCGAAAAAGATAGTCTGATATGTTACAATGAGTGTTTGTTAGCACAAGACAAGTGTCCACTCGTCGCAGCGGTCAAGTCGCTACACGCGCATAATTCCCAACTGTTCGAGAATCGATAAAAGCATCGTGCAAATAATATTTATGGTAACAATCGACCGAGGCTTCAAAGCAAATAAACTTTATAAAAGTTTAAAGGGATTTACGGAAAAAAATTTTGCACAGTGCTTAGGCGTTATAATTATGCAATAAGCCATACCTTAATCGCGGCCCTACGTGGACAACAGGTGTCGGCTTCGTGGTCTCGTTTTTCTCACGCGGCTCAATGGTCCTTGAGCTGAGAAAATTGCATTCGAAATCCGAATCTAAAAGAGAGAGATTTGAAATGAACCACTATAGCAGCAAGGGGATACCGTCACGTATGTAACAACAACTCGAAAACAATACAGCAGAACGGTGAACGCCACGTAGAGGTGTGGAAATGATCAATACGCACGTCGACCACGTAAAATCGAAACGAGTTTGTGGTGGAGGGGATTGAAGAAATTCCGACAGCATATGACAGCGGTTGGTTTTGCTTAACTGACAGTACAAATTGAATTTTGAGGTGGATATAATTGAAGTACACAAAAATTAGCAGCATAACACGTTTTCTAATTACTTAAATACTTTGTTAAAACTGCTCAAAGCAGACAGATGATATGAAACTACACTCAAGGAAAGTCAAGCAGGAATCAGTAAGATCACCTATTTCCAAAATGGCTACCCCAAGCCGCT